CTTGTAGTTGATACTTATTGGTTTACTTGGTGGAAGATCATATGTTCAGATCCTTAATGCATATTATTACACCTCTGATTATGAACATGATTATGCTTTGTGAGTAGTTACTTTAGTTCCTGAGGACAAGGGTGAAGTCTTGCTATTAGTAGTCATGTGAATTTGGTATTCGTTCGATATTTTGATGAGATGTATGTTGTCTCTCTTCTAGTGGTGTTATGTGAATGTCGACTACGTGACACTTCACCATTATTTGGGCCTAGAGGAAGGCATAGGGAAGTAATAAGTAGATGATGGTTTGCTAGAGTGGCAGAAGCTTAAACCCTAGTTTATGCGGCGCTTCGTTAGGGGTTCATATGGGCCCATATGTTTAATGTTGTGGTTAGGTTTACCTTAATACTCCTTTTTGTAGTTGCGGACACTTGCAATAGGGGTTAATCATAAGTGGGATGCTTGTCCAAGTTAGGGCAGTACCCAAGTGTCGGTCCACCCACATATCAAATTATCAAAGTACCGAACAAGAATCTTATGAACGTGATGAAACGAGCTTGACGATAATTCCCAATGTGTCCCCGGGAGCTTCTTCCTTATTATTAGAATTTTTCCGGGCTTATCCTTTGCTACATAAAGGATTGGGCCACCTTGATGCACCTTATTTACTTTGTTTAATTGTTACTCGTTACTATTTATCTTATCACAAAACTATCTATCACCTACTATTTCAGTGCTTGCAGAGAAAACCTTACTGAAAACCCCTTCTCATTTCCTTCTGCTCCTCGTTGGGTTCGACACTCTTACTTATCGAAAGGACTACGATAGATCCCCTACACTTGTGGGTCATCAAGACTCTTTTTTGGCGCCATTGCCGGGGAGCGTAGCGCTCTTGGTGAGTGGAACTTGGTAAGGAAACATTTATATAGTGTGCTGAAATTTTCTGTTACTTGTCACTATGGAAACTAATCCTGTGAGTGGCTTGTTTGGGGTATCTTCACCCCAACCAGAAGAGCAAAGAGATGCTCCTCAACCTACTGAACTTTATGAAAATATTCACTTTTAGATTCCTTCGGGTATGATAGAAAAACTGCTAGCTAATCCTTTTGCAGGAGACGAAACTTTGCATCCCGACTTACACCTTATCTTTGTGGATGAAGTTTGTGGATTATTTAAGCTTGTAGGTATTCCCGATGATGTTTTCAAAAGGAAGGTCTTCCCTTTATCTTTGAAGGGAGATGCAATGACATGGTATAGGCTATGTGATGATACGAGATCCTGGAATTATAAGAGATTGAAATGGGAATTTCACCAGAAGTTCTATCCTATGCATCTTGTTCATCGTGATCGTAATTACATATATAATTTCTGGCCTCGCGAAGGAGAAAGCATAGCTCAAGCTTGGGCGAGGCTTAAGTCAATGTTATATTCATGCCCCAATCATGAGCTCTCTCGGGAAATGATTATTCAGAATTTTTATGCTCTGCTTTCTCTTGATAATCGCAACTTGCTCGATACTTCCTGTGTTGGTTCCTATATGCTGAAGACTATTGATTTCAAATGGGACTTATTGGAAAGAATTAAACGCAACTCTGAAGATTGGGGTTCCGACCATGGTAAGGAGTCAGGTATGACACCTAAGTTTGATTGTGTTAAATCTTTTATGGATACCGATGCTTTCCGTGGATTTAGCTCTAAGTATGGACTTGACTCTGAGATAGTAGCTACTTTTTGTGAAACTTTTGCTGCTAACGTTGATCTCCCTAAAGAGAAGTGGTTTAAATATAATCCTCCTGTTGAAGTGAAAGTAGTTGCACCTATTACAGTCGAAGAAAAGACTATTACATATAGTGATCCTATTATTCCTACTGCTTATGTCGAGAAACCTCCTTTTCCCGTTAGGATAAAAGATCAAGCTAAAGCTTCGACTATTGTTCGTAAGAGTAATATAAGGACTTATACACCTCCTGAGCAAATTAATGTTGAACCTAGTATTGCTATGATTAAAGATCTCTTGGATGAAGACTTAGATGGGCATGTTATTTCTTTCGTGGGTGAAACTGCTAATATTGCTAGACCTGATACTAAGACACGTAGACCTGTTGTAGGCATGCCTGTTATTTCTATTAAACTAGGAGATCATTGTTATCATGGCTTATGTGATATGGGTGCTAATGCTAATGCGATACCTTATGATCTTTATAAAGAAATTATGCACGATATTGCACCTCTTGAATAAGAAGACATTGATGTTACTATTAAGCTTGCTAATAGAGACACCATTAAACCTATTGGGATTGTTAGAGCTGTTGAAGTCTTGTGTCGAAAGATTAAATACCCTGTTGATTTCCTTGTTCTTGCTTCCCCACAAGATAATTTTTGTCCCATTATTTTTGGTAGACCTTTCTTGCATACTGCTAGTGCTAAGATTGATTGTGAAAAGAATATTCTCACTGTTGGCATAGATGGTATGTCTTATGAGTTTAATTTCGCTAAGTTTAGTAGATAACCTCGTGAAAGGGAACCACCTAGTAAGGATGAAATTGTTGGTCTTTCTTCCATTGCTGTTCCCCCAACTGATCCGTTAGAACAATATTTGTTAGACCATGAAAATGATATGTTTATGAAGGAAAGGGAAGAAATAGATGAAGTGTTCCTTAAACAAGAACCTATGCTAAAACATAACCTTGCCGTTGAAATTCTTGGGGATCCCCCTCCACCCAAGGGTGATCCCGTGTTTGAACTTAAACCCTTACATGATAATCTCAAGTATGCTTATCTTGATGAAAAAGAAATATATCCTGTTATTATTAGTGCTAACCTTTCAGAGAAAGAAGAAGAAAGATTATTGAAAACTCTTAAGAAGCACCGAGCTGCTATTGGATATACCCTTGATGACCTCAAGGGCATTAGCCCCACATTATGTCAACACAAAATTTCAGTGCAAAAAGATGCCAAACCTGTTAGAGATCCTCAAAGACGATTAAATCCCAAAATGAAGGAAGTGGTGAGAAAGGAGATACTAAAACTCCTTGAGGCAGGTATTATTTATCCCGTTGCTGATAGTGAATGGGTAAGCCCTGTCCATTGTGTCCCTAAAAAGGGAGGTATTACCATTGTTCCCAATGATAAAGATCAGTTGATCCCGCAAAGAATTATTACAGGCTATAGGATGGTAATTGATTTCCGTAAGTTAAACAAAGCCACTAAGAAAGATCATTAGCCTTTACCTTTTATTGATCAAATGCTAGAAAGGCTATCCAAACACACACATTTTGGCTTTCTAGATGGTTATTCTGGCTTCTCTCAAATACCTGTGTCAGCGGGGGATCAATCTAAAACTACTTTTACTTGCCCTTTCGGTACTTTTACTTATAGATATATGCCTTTTGGTTTATGTAATGCACCTGCTACCTTTCAAAGATGAATGATGGCTATATTTTCTGATTTTTGTGAAAAGATTTGTGAGGTATTCATGGATGACTTCTCCGTCCATGGATCCTCTTTTGATGATTGTTTGAGCAACCTTGATCGAGTTTTGCAGAGATGCGAAGACACTAGTATCGTCCTGAATTGGGAAAAGTGTCACTTTATGGTTAATGAAGGCATTGTCTTGGGGCACAAGATCTCCGAGAGAGGTATTGAAGTTGATAAAGACAAAGTTGATGCTATTGAATAGATGCCATGTCCTAAGGACATAAAAGGTATATGAAGTTTCCTTGGTCAAGACGGTTTTTATAGGAGGTTCATTAAGGACTTTTCTAAAATCTCTAGGCCTCTGACTAATTTATTGCAAAAATATATTCCTTTTGTCTTTGATGATGATTGTGTAGAAGCATTTGAAACACTTAAGAAAGCTTTGATCACAACACCTATTGTTCAGCCACCTGATTGGAATTTGCCTTTTGAAATTATGTGTGATGCTAGTGATTATGCTATAGGTGCTGTTCTAGGGCAAAGAGTTGATAAGAAATGAAATTTTATCCATTATGCTAGTAAGACTCTTGATACTGCCCAGAGAAATTATGCTACCACTGAAAAAGAATTCTTAGCAGTTGTGTTTGCATGTGATAAGTTTAGATCTTATATTGTTGATTCCAAAGTTACTATTCAAACTGATCATGCTGCTATTAAATATCTTATGGAAAAGAAAGATGCTAAGCCTAGACTCATTAGATGGGTTCTCTTGCTCCAAGAATTTGACTTGCATATTATTGATAGAAAGGGAGCTGAGAACCCCGTTGCAGACAACTTGTCTAGGTTAGAGAATGTTCTTGATGACCCACTGCCTATTAATGATAGTTTTCCTGATGAACAATTAGCAGTTGTCAATGCTTCTCGTACTGCTCCTTGGTATGCTGACTATGCTAACACTACTAGGGAAAACCTTATACACAGAAGTTTATCAGTAGCGCGGTTTAAAAATGGGCGCTACTGCTAATTAGTAGTAGCGAGGGGTATAAAAACCGCGCTACTACTAAGTTGATAGTAGTAGCGAGGGGTATAAACCCGCGCTGCTACTAAATGGTCTCCAACAATGCCCCCGGGATAGGCTATAGTAGTAGCGAGGAGTATAAAACCGACGCTACTACTAAATAAGTAGTAGTAGCGCAGGTAAGACTCCCACGCTACTACTAAGCGTGTCCACCCCCGACCCGATCCACACTCCCACCCCACCACCACCTCCCACCCCACCAACCGTCCCACACCACCCACCCCCCGTCTGTCTCAAAAGAAAAACCACGCATCCCGATCCAGATCCCCAACCTCCTCTCCTCTCCCAACCCACTCGCCGCCGGCCTCCCTTCCACCTCCTCTCCTCCGTCCGTCCGCCCCATGCCCCCCGCCGCGTGCGCCACACCACGCGCTCGCCTTACCGGAGGGTCGTCCCCGCCAGAGGCGGCGCGATGGCCGCCGACGACCTCGCACGGAGCAAGCAGGAAGGGGCCGTTGGTGGCGATTGTCCGGTGGTGGGCGGCTCCGGGCGGTTCGCGCGGTCGCAGGGGAGCATGGTCCTGTCGGCGGTGTTCGACAACAGGACGAACGATGTGGATTGCTCCGTGGCGGCCTGCGGCGACCTGTGGCGCGCCGAGGCGTCGCACTCCAGTAGCGCCAGCGGCAGCAGTGGCGGCGGTGACGGCGGCGCGACGCCGCTGTTCCTGGTGCAGCTCGGGCCCATGCTCTTCCTCCGCGACACGACGCTGCTCTTCCCCATGCACCTCTCCAAGCGCCACCTCATCTGGTACGGCTTCGAGCGCAAGGTAAACAACTAACGAACACGCTGAATCTAATATCTTATCTGCACAAAGAAGAAGCTAAGAGTAAGATCTGATATGTGTGCAGAACGGAGTGAACTCGGTGTGCCCGACGTACTGGACAGCTCGCCGGAGATGCTTCTTCATGTCGTTGATCTGCCTCAACCCCTTTGCTTGCGTGAGTGTTGGATCGGCCTTCTGAATTCTCTGTCCTGAATCCTGAATTCGTGATGATGAACAGTTAATTTCGACACTATCTTTGCCTGGACTTTCTGTTTGAAAACAATTGAGCAGTCATTCATGGACATGCAATTCCCCAATGGACAGCTCAGATACGTGGCTGGCGACGGGTTTACGGTGAGGGGCTTCCTCCCTCTTGGCGGCGGCGGCATTGTCCAGGCCCACAGAAAGTTCCCCGAGGAGAAGCTGTCGCTTCTCCTACAAGGTCAGCACCCCACCTACCTGATCCCTCAAAACGTATCATCTGCATTTTCTGCACATATCACAAGTTCACAACAGAAACCCGATCGACAGATGATCTGAGCTGTTGCTCTGCAGAACGGGAGCGGGTGCAGCGTCGCCCCGACCGTCCAATGGCCGGACAGGTCCCTGTCACTAGGGCTAGCCCAGTTGCTCTCTTGGAGGCAGTGCGGCCTCATGCTGCAGCCTGCAATGCAGCTCAGGTCTGTGTCAAAAAAATCAAAAAAAAGTTCATTTCTCTCAGTAAACAGTTCCACTTCTATGCACTCACAAAGGAAATGCAGTTGATCATGCCGGAATGTGGATCTGATTATTTAACCTGGTTGACATGATCTTTTTGTGATGGACAGCATTTGCCCCACGTTCGGCGGGAGCAGGCCCGGGGTGTCGACGGAGCTGGTCCATTCGGTCAGCGAGGAGGCCAGCGTCGCCTGCGGCTACTCCCGCACTGTCTCCCCCTCTGCTTATGCTTCCGTGTCGGTCAGTAGCTTCCCCGTACTCCGTTGATCCGCCATGTTTTTCATCGTTGAAGTACATTGCACAACTTAATTTTGGATGAACTCATCGGTGCGTTAACTATGTTTTACTTTGTGGTTCAACCTTTGTACTCCCTCCGTTCGGAATTACTTGTCACAAAAATGAATGTATCTACAACTAAGATACATCTAGATAAATTCACTTTTTGGACGAGTAATTCCGAACGGAGGGAGTAGATCGTAATTAGTTTGCCTTTTTTGTTCATGTGTGCAGCTTGGGAGATCGAAGCTGAATGGCGGCGCGACGAGCTCTGGGCTGGTGTTGAGAGTGGACGCACCGCTGCACGGTTTTGTGCGGCCATGGTTCTCCATCCAGATGAACAATGGGCTCGAGTTCTGAATCTTTGATTGTTGCAAAGGTAAATACGTGGCGGCATTGCGTCTTAGACAAAGGCAAGTATAGTCGATGCTAGTTTTGTACATATGGCTTGATAGAGGACTCGAACAGACTCTTTATATACATGTTGCAAACAACATACAAATCATATGATTGGCTCAAAATGTGGAAAAGAAAACCTTGAAATTGACATGGTCAGCTAGATCTCTTGGCAGGAATGTACCACTCCTGCCCCTTCGGACATTTCTGTAGGATTTTTGCTTGAATGTTAGTGTTTTCTCTGACCTATGTATAGTGTCAACAAAGATCTAAATTACCACATGGAGATGCATTTTTTGGCGGCATCTTACATCACAGTAATTTACAACGAAGATAGGTTTACAGTGTCTTTTTTATAGCAACTATAATGCATAGCTGCAAATATTGTCGAATGCACATCTGTATTTTGTATGCATGACAGATTCTATCTTCGGTAGTGTTATCTATCTAGTATGATTTATACACTGCATTCCTAAGCTGAAATATATTTTGTAACTTAAATATATAGTCCGAGTTTCATTGAGTTGTTTTTCACTTTTTAATTGAATATCTTTTTGTAACTGAAATATCTATGTACTTACAGTGCATATCTAATAGGACCCTTCCAGCAAGACCTAAGTTTAACCGAATATCTTTTTTGTCGATCGTCGTAGGTTTTTATGCCCCATGTATTTAACTGAATATCTTTTCGGTCCTAATGCCTCATGTATTTATAGTAGTAATGTTCTAATTTAGTGTTTCTTGAACATGCTCAGGGACTCAGGGCAATGGATAAAGTCTAGATGCTAAGTTGACTTTTTTCCTGCGGATTTGGTTATAGTGAAGAGATGCACAAAGGGTTAATTGCTACAGATACTGAAAACTTTGAAACTAGTGATGGTGACGACCATGATCGTAATCACAAGCACAGAAGACCACTGCCATGTTCCTGCACTTAACATTTTCAATCGCTGCATTGGAATAGTATGATCTATTACTTCACATTTTCTATACCATGAGGACAACTGTCACATTGTGCCAATATATATGTAGCCTTGAAAGGTCTCCTCTAAGTGTTGTTACTATTGATGATTTGAGTTGCAATTAACGTTCTTCACAATACGCTCCAAAATCCTATCTGAATGTTGGATTTGAGTTGCTTGCCTAGACTATTTTCTGTGCTGCAGCATTTTATGCATCATTTTTTATTTTTATTTTTTTAATCCCTAATTAGTTACTAGTAGCGTGGGAATAAATGGTACGCTACTAGTATTAGAATGCTAGTAGCGCCTGGTATTCTAGACACGCTACTACTATTTCGTTAGTAGTAGCACTGGTTTCCAATAGTAGTAGCGCGGGCGGAACCCGCGCTACTACTAAGTTATAGTAGTAGAGCGGCTGGAACCCGCGCTACTACTAACTTTTAGCGATAGCGCGATAGTAGTAGCGTGATGACCCACGCTACTACTAACCAAAAAACCCATGCTGCTAGTAGCCTTTTTCCTAGTAGTGTAATTACATTGTTGCTAAATATATACCGCCTAGTTTCACATACCAGCAAAAGAAAAAGTTCTTTCATGATTTAAGACATTACTTCTGGGATGATCCACACCTTTATAAAGAAGGAGTAGATGGTATTATTAGACGTTGTGTGCCTGAGAATGAACAGGAACAAATCCTACGCAAATGTCACTCCGAATCCTATGGAGGACACCACGCTGGAGATAGAACTGCACACAAGGTACTACAATCTGGTTTTTATTGGCCTACTCTTTTCAAAGATGCTCGTAAGTTTGTCGTATCTTGTGATGAATGCCAAAGAATAGGTAACATCAGTAGACGTCAAGAAATGCCTATGAATTATTCTCTTGTTATTCAAACGTTTGATGTTTGGGGCTTTGATTATATGGGACCTTTTCCTGCCTCCAATGGTTATACCCATATTTTAGTTGCTGTTGACTACGTTACTAAGTGGGTAGAAGCTATTCCAACTAGTAGTGCTGATCATAACACTTTTATTAAAATGCTTAAATAAGATATTTTTCTGAGGTTTGGAGTCCCTAGATATCTTATGACTGATGGTGGTTCACACTTTATTCATGGTGCTTTCCGTAAGATGCTTGCTAAGTACGATGTCAATCATAGAATTGCATCTCCTTATCACCCACAGTCTAGTGGTCAAGTAGAGTTGAGCAATAGAGAGCTCAAATTAATTTTGCAAAAGACTGTGAATAGATCTAGAAAGAATTGGTCCAAAAAAGTTGATGATGCATTATGGGCCTATAGAACTGCATACAAAAATTCTATGGGTATGTCTCCATATAAGATGGTTTATGGAAAAACATGTCATTTACCTCTTGAACTTGAACATAAAGCATATCGGGCTATTAAAGAGCTTAATTACGACTTCAAACTTGCCGGTGAGAAAAGGTTATTTGATATTAGCTCACTTGATGAATGGAGAACCCAAGCATATGAGAATGCTAAGCTTTTCAAAGAAAAAGTCAAATGCTGGCATGATAAAAGGATACAAAAGCGTGAGTTTAGCGTAGGAGATTATGTGTTATTGTTCAACTCTCGTTTAAGATTTTTTGCAGGAAAACTTCTCTCAAAATAGGAAGGTCCTTACGTTATCGAGGAGGTCTATCGTTCCGGTGCTATAAAAATTAACAACTTCGAAGGCACAAATCCGAGGGTGGTTAATGGTCAAAGAATCAAGCATTATATTTCAGGTAATCCTATCAATGTTGAAACTAATATTATTGAAACCATAACCCCAGAGGAGTACATAAGAGACACTTTCCAGAATGTTCCAGACTCCAAAAAGGCTTAGGTACGTGGTACGGTAAGTATACCGACTCCAAAACAACTCTAATGGCAATTTTTATCTGTTTTGGATTATTTAAGAATTCTAGGAAGAAAGAAGTAGTCATAAAGGGACACGAGGCTCCCACGAGAGAGGAGGGCGCCCCCCCCTGTAGGGCGCCCCCCTATCTCGTGGGCACCTCGTGTGCCTCCCGGACTCGGTTTTCTAGTATGTTACGTATTTTTCTCGGTAAAAAATCATTATATATACTCCCGAAGGTTTTGATCACCGTATCACGGAAATATCCTATGTTTTCGTTTCGAGCTGTTCCTGTTGCAGATTTAGAGCATCATGACTTCTCCCTCCTGCAACAACGAAGACAAGGATGCCTGGCTATTGAAGATAGAGTTGAAAAGAGAGGAACCGGAAGAGAGTAACAAGGGTGAAGGGATCAAGAAGGCTATGGAGGTTCAAGCTCCGGTGGTGAAAGAAGAAGACATCCCTCACCCTTTACCTAACCTTTACACTCCAATAGAGATTGAAGCTTTCAAGATGATTGAGTTAGCCCGCATACAAAACAAGTATCTCACACAAGAGAATATTTTGCTGAAGGATCATATTGCTGGGCTCAAGGGCATTATCCGCAAGTTGGAGGAGCTTTTAAGCTCGATGTGAGATTATCCACCGTCATCATCACCACCTCCATCACCTCAGAAGAAGTAATCACATGGGTATGGGCACTCCCCTTGGGAACTGCCAAGCTTGGGGGAGGTGCCCCAGTATCGTATCACCATCACACTCCTATCTTTACCGCTTTATTTAGTTCGATCCTTTTAGTAGTATCTTGATCTAGTAGATTGATGTTTTGATATCAAGTAGTTTTGAGTTTTGCTTTCTGATCTCTTTTTGTAAGCGAGTCCGTGTGCTATCTATAATAAAGATTAGTGTTGAGTCAAGGGCTTTGCTATGTTGCTATGATCTTGAGAAAGTAGAAAGAACAAAAGAGTTCATATTGATCTTATGGATAGTGATAACTTCACACATAGAAAGTATGAGGCATAAAAATTGTTGAGAGTTGATGAACGTAGCCTTGGTCATCGTTGCAATTAATAGGAAGTGATAAGGAAAGAGGGGTTCACATATAGATATATTATCTTGGACATCTTTTATGATTGTGAAGCACTCATTAAGTATGACATGCTAAAAGAGTTGACATTGGACAAGGAAGACAACTTAATGGTTTATGTTTTCCGACATCTCAGTTAAAGTATATTGTCAGTGACCTTCTAACCATGTTGAGCTTGCCTTTCCCCCTCATGCTAGCCAAAACTCCTTGCACCAAGTAGAGATACTACTTGTGC